TAAAGGAGGACATCTTGGGCCCTCCCAAGTCATCGTCTTCTATTTCTTCTTCTCTTTCTTATCTCTGTTTTTTCCTATCTGTGCTGCATTCAGTACTTCCTGTTCTCTCAAATTGTTATTCTTGTTGCAGGAGTTATGCTATTAATTGTTTTACGATCATTGAACAAGTTACTGCTTTTTGGAGCTCCTAACTGAGCGAGGGGGCGTATCCCACGAAGAGGACAGGAAGTGAAGTTTTGGTTCCTGCCTTCCTGAGGATGGGGTGGGAAACACCCAGCAAGATGTCCTCCTTCATCTCAGAGGAGAAGGGCCCTTCACGGTAAGTATCCAATGGCCCGTTTTGTCAGGATTAAGTTTCAGCCTGTTAACCATAGTTAAAAACCATCAAAACATCATTGGAAGTAAAAACAAAACAGGGGTGAGAGCCAGTTTGGTGTAGTGATTAGGAGCATGGACTCTAATCTGGGAGAACCGGGTTTGATTCCCCAGTCCTCCAGATGCAGCTGCTGGTGTTACCTTGGGTCAGTCATTTATTTATTTATTTAACCTTCAATTTATAAGTTCTTTCAGAGCTGTTCTGAAGACAGCAGTTCTCCGGAGAGCTCTCTCAGCCTCACCTACCTCACAGGGTGTCAGTTGTTGGCAGTGGAAGGGAAAGGAGATCGTAAGCCACTCTGAGACTCCTTTGGGTAGTGAAGGGCAGGGTATAAATCCACTCTCCTCTTCTCTCTGTCTAAAAATACGTCAAAAAATAACATAAAAAACAGTTGGTCCTAAACAGGAAAAAAAGACATAAAATTGGGCAGCTAATAAAACAGTAACAGGGAGGGGTGCATTCCCAACAGAATAAAAACCTATTTGCCTGATGCCTAAATCTCCTGTGGGGAGAAGTGCCAGGATTGAGGAGGTTACCTAATATCAGATAGTGAAGGCATGCAGAGCGAGGTCTCTGAGAAAATCTCATTTTGTTTACAGGTTCATGTGGGAGAAAGTGATCTATCAGGTATCCTGATCCCAGGCTGTGTATTGTTTTATAGGTACCAGTACTTGGAATTGTGTAGGGGTTGCAGAGTGTCATGCCTGCCCCTGCTGATGTCATGCCTGCCTTTGCTGATGCCCCTGAACAGGCTCCTGAGGACCCTGAACAGGCTCCTGAGGACAGTACTGCAGCAGAAAGGCAAAGACTGGATCCTGTAGCTGAAAGCTATCTAAGTGGTGAGGAGGATAGAGCCTCCCAGGGAACACCTGCAAGGGATCAGTCTCTGCTGCAGCCCAGTAATTCATCATCAGACTCGCCTCCACCTGTAACCAGGCTCAGGAATGTAAGAAGACAACAGCTGAGAGAGCAAAGGCAGAATGCACGCATGCGTGCCAGAAGATCTCTTAGCCCTGATTACTGACAGGATCCTGTCCTCACTCCTGGCTAGCTAATGAGTTGATTAGCTAGCACTGTATATATGCAAGTCTGTTGCCAGCAGTCATTTGTGCTGGCAAACGTCGTTTGTTCAGGACCTGAATCCTTGCATCTCTGCTCCAGACCTTGTGGAATTCTTCTCGGCTTGATCCTTGGCTTTTGACCTTCGGCTTTGTTGACCCTGCGTTCATCTCTGACTCCTCTGGTATTGTTGTGATTTATGGACTTGAAACTTTGGTATGTCTGACCCTGCTTTTGGACTGTGATTTAAACCTGCTTGAACCTTGCTACCTGATTTGCCCGGCTTGACCTCGGACTGTTCCTGGACTTTTGCTTGCTTGTGTCACGCCCCCTGGTCCTGCCGTGACAGATTGCCAGCACCCACAACGCTCACACATCCCCACCATGGAAGACGGAGCAACCGGAGGTGTGGACCCCATGGAGGAAATGCTAGCACAGGTACAGCACTTAACTCAAGCTGTGATTGCTTTGCAACAACAGGCTGCTACAAATGCTGTTGCTGTAGCAAATGCTGGTACACCTCCCCCACGTTGCCCAATAAATCCTCCTGATCGTTTTCAAGCAAGGGAAACCTTTTACCTTTGCCTTACTTGGAATTGTGCCCAGAAACAAACTGTCAAACTGGTGGAAATCTGGAGGAGAGGAGATTGGATTTATACCCCGCCCTTCACTTGGAGTCTCAGGGCGGCTTACAAACTCCTTTCCCTTCCCCTCCTCACAACAGACACCCTGTGAGGTAGATGGGGCTGAGACAGCCCTTTCAAGGACAGCTCTGACGGAACTATGGCTTGCCCAAGGTCATCCAACAGCTGCAAGTGGAGGAGTGGGGAAACAAACCTAGTTCTCCTAGGTTACAGTCCATGCACTTAACCACTACACTAAACTGGTGTAAAATTTGCAAAATGCGGTCCCTATAACCTATACCTTCTAGCAGCCTAGCCGGTACATTTTGAACCAGGTGAAGTTCCTAGGCAGTCTTCATAGAGTTCACTGCAGTAATCCAACCTCCATGTGATTGGAGTATGGGTAATTGTAGTCAAGACATATCTCTTGAAGAAGGGTCTGCAAATGGTGAACTACCAAAGCTGGTTAAAGTCTGTGTGTTCTACAGAGAGGATCTGTGCTTCCCATCTGTGGCTATGGATCACTCGATCCATTTTTATTCCATCCTTGTTCTAAGGAACACATGGCAGAAGTACATGAACCCCCCCTTTCTATTTCAGCTCACTGTAACTCTGTGTGATAGATTAGGCTGAGAGGTGACTGGCCAAAGGTCACTTAGTGCAACCTAAAGCAGAATTATGCCCTGCTAAATCCATTAAAGTCCGTGGGCTTAGAAGGGTATAACTCTGTTAAGCATTACACTGTTAGTCAATGATTGGGGAACCAGTGTGTCCCCAGTCATAATCTTACCCCCTAAACATTACACTAAACTCTGTATCTAGAAGCCCCCCCCCCCCCCCCCAAAGAAACACACTGTCACAAGCCCCAATACCTCCACAGTGTTGCCAGGTGGGCCCACTCCAAGAGAGTGGTAGGGTTTGGGCAAACAAAACAAAAGGCTGAAGTGTGAATCCACGTGACTCAGAGAACTGCTGCCACCGGCTTCTTTGACTACTCAGCCAGAGACCAAAGCATGTGGCCCTTCCTAGGTCTAAACAAGAAATCAACCCTCTAAGGTTTAACACTCACAAGGCAAGTCCCAAAACAAGTTACTTTGGTAGCTGTACCTAACTTTGGCCAAAGTACTGGATTCAGATTGAAGCCTCATGAGTTCAAAAACACACCCAATTATAATTAGAGTGATTTATTGAAAGAATGTGCAGGAATATACATCAGAGAATAAAGAACAGTGAGAATAAATTAACAAATCTAAATAGCTAACCTAGATACTTACAAACAATGGTTCTCTAATCCAGAGAATACTTAGGAAGGCAAAGTCCAAAATAGTTTTAAAGTCCAACGTGAGTCCATCCATTGTGGCTCATCCATCAGAGTGTCGCAAGACAAGTTGTATTCAAGCCAAGGGTTAAACTAGAATGAAGAATCTTTGCTTTATGCCTCATGGCCTATACAGGCATGATTTAGGCTAGCCAATCAAACATAGGCCCAATGATGTAACCCAACTGACCATTGGTGTTACTGACCAGTGATGTAACCAATCAGGTGATATTGCCAATTAGTATCTGATGTTCTCCAGTTTCATCAGATTCAATTAACAAGCTTCCATAAATCCTTGCATTAACAAGATGGAATGTATAGGCCCACGTAGGTTTTTTTTTAAACATTTAAGACTGGTGAGATAGATACCCTGCACCTGTGAACTGCCTCCTGTCCTCCCTTATCTCTCAGAGTCACTGTCAGGTTAGCCTTGATGTTCAGAGAATAGGCATTTTCCATATTCTGTAGGACTCATGCCTGAACCAAAGTTTTGAGTTTGAACAAGAGACTCTGAAGTAACCTAGTCTCTTGACACACATCTGCTCCATAAGGACAGGTATAGTCTTGTCCAGAACAAGTAAGCTTAGACTCTTTTGTCATCTCACTCCTATCTGGGTTGAGCTTCTGTTTATGGGCCCTCCTCTTGGCCATTTACTGCCTCCAGGTACCCATTCAGGCCATCCATTGTCTCACAGTTGCTGGACAGCCAGTGCGATGTACTGGTTAGGAGTGGCGGACTCTAATCTGAAGGACTGGGTTTGATTCCCCACTCCTCCATATGAAGCCTGCTGGGTGACCTTGGGCAAATCACAATTTTCTCAGAACTCTCTCAGCCCCACCTGTCTCCTAAGGTGCCTCTTGTGGAAGAGTCAGGGAATGTAATTGTAAGCCACTTTGCGATTCCTTGAGGTAAAGAAAAGCAGGATATAAAAACTGACTCTTCCTCTTCTTGTTCACTTAACTCAGTTGAGAATGGGGAAGTCAGGAAGCTGTATGCGCGCTCTCTCTCTCTCTCTCTGTATATGTATATCACCAGGAAACTATGATTTGCCTGTTTTGCACAGATAATAGCTTCCTAATTCTTATGGCCAAACACGAGCTTTGCTGATATGCCTAAATGTTCCATGGGAACTCTTGTCTAGTTGGTGTTTAGCTCTTAGTTTCATTTCCATTCTTGTGGTATTGCCAGTATATATCCATGCAGTGTCCCTTGAGCAAAATCACTCTAATAGTAATTTGAATTCACAGGTGGACACAGTGAAAAAGGAAAACTAATTTATTGTTCCGCATGTTGTGTGTGTTCCCTGAGGATTGTTGAAGTTGTTATTGAATTATTTGCATGAAATGTCTTAAATACCTCTGGTGTGTACAGTGTATGCATTTGTGTGTGCATGCAATAAGACATATGTGCTTTTAACATGTTCACAGAAGTGAGAGTATATGCCATACTAATGCCATATTTCAGCTGTGGTAGAATCCCTTCCCCCCAATCTCTTCTATGCAGATGTATGAGAAAGGAAGTCCTCTTGGGCATTCAGTTGGACATGAAGCCCTCAGCATGCCAGTGGTTTAGCTTCATTTGCCGAATTAACATTCTTGCTTTTGTTTGTTCTTGCTTGGGCAGAGATAACGAAAGAAGACCCAATTTCTCCAGTGTGCTGTTTACACTTCGGCAAAGCGGCCGTGCTGTAGTATCCGAGGACATTGTGCAGTTTGGCTCTGTAAGAAATGGCTGTGTTGTTGATTCTGGAATTTTGTCTTGATGGGTTAAGCATGATTACCTCACTGAATGAGCCACAGGAAAACCAGAAGTGTTTGTGGGCACCGGCAGGCATCATGCAGTCTTCTCTCCCAATTGATAGTTTTATACAAGTTTTTAATTAAAAAATACTGACTTGTATTATTAAGTGTTCCATAACCAGCTGTTTAAAGCATCAGTTTAATCGATGTATTTGACTGTGCCATAGAATTTTGACACACTCTGGTGGGTGGGGGAGCAGGCCATGTTACATCCAGGCTACTGTTCAAGTTAGGAGGTTGGTTGGTGGGGCTCAGAAACAACACATTGACAAATTGGGAACATAAAATCCAGTTACTTGATTTGTTTGCTTTTATATACAACCTGCATTTCTCCCAATGGTGACCCAAAACAACTAACATCATTGTCCCCTCCTCCATTTTAAGATCAAGACGGGTAGCCATATTAGTCTGTCTGTAGCAGTAGAAAAGAACAAGAGTGCAGTAGCACCTTAAAGACTAACAAAAATTGTGGCAGGGTATGAGTTTTCGTGAGTCACTGTGACCCTGCCACAAATTTTGTTAGTCTTTAAGGTGCTACTGCACTCTTGCTCCTTTCTGCTCCTCTGTTTTAACTTCACGACAGCACTGTGAAGTCAGTTAGGCTGAAAGCGTGACTGGCCCATGGTCACTAAATACTATTACTCAATGAAATAACTATAGTGTTAAAAGTACTTGATCACCAATCTTGAGAAACCATAGACAAGACATTTCCTTTGTCAAAATACAGTAGAAATTTTAAGCCTCCACTATATATTTAGTTACTGATCTTTAAGTATCCAAAGCACTGTTAATGCTTAGTACTTCTGATATTTAGCACTAGCTTTTGGGTATCCTGTTCATTTGATATGGTAGCCCTTGTTCCTAGACTACTGAAGCAATTAACTTCGCTATCTGGAATTCCGGAAAACATCTGCCAATTTGTTTAGAAAGGGCTGAGCTAGATGTATGGTTTGTTTGAATCCATATAAGGAACAAGGAAATAATACCAGCTATGACTCTCCAAGGGAAAAGCTCTTTGGCTAAACAGCTACAAGCAGTTGCTTGGCAGGGCAGTCTCCTCCTTGGCAACTATTTGCAGTGTTTTGGTCTAATAGGTGGTGATCTGGTAGCTATAGCCCCAAGTCATCATTTCCTTGTTTCTTGAGCTTTTTGATCACTAAAACCAGAGACTGGAGAGAGCTGTATGTATGCTGCAATTTGGGTAGTGCACAAACATGGAAAATGGTGATAACAATAACTCCACGTGTAGCCCTTGAAGTTGCAAAGACTGAGGGGGCAAGTCCCACAAATAGAACTTGTAAAGCATACAAATATATGCAAATCTGTGTAATTTATACAACCAATATAGACTTTTGTTGTCAGAAGAGCTAAATTAGTGCAAAAATCTGGGGTGGGGTCCAGTCCCGTGTGTGTTAAGCTGAGATCACACATATCCCTGATCAGTGGTTCCCATCCACTCTTCAGAAGCAGGGGTGTTATTGAAAATGCTCCCATGGATTTTATTTATTTAGAACATTTATATGCTGCCTTTCTACCCAAATGAGGTTCCCAAGGCAGTGAGCATCAAGGCATTAAAATATTTAGAACAACATTTAAACCATATATATAAATATTTAACAATAAAATAAAAATATATAGACATACAAAACACACAACCAGGGATGCTCCTGTATTAGCACTAAAGGGTTTATCCCCATGGCTATTAATTTGTGACCCCCCCCCCGCGCCCCCCCCCGCACAGAAACTTTATGCTGTAGCCTTTGTCTTAATTGTTGCTGAAAGCCTTCCTGTTATTCCCTTTGTATAGGTGCAGAGGAAAGTGAAGTTTGCCAATCAGTACTGGAGACCAGGAAATGATGCTAGAGATCAGACTCCTCTCGGTCCTGGATCAGGTACTGGCCCATCTCCTCGAAGACCACGTGCTAAGGACAGGTATGGGACCACTGGGGGGAGTGTGAAAGTGATGTACTATAGAAGGTTGTGATGTGGATCACTGTTTATTCATCATCGATCTTTTGTGCAGTCCCACATGGGGACTGCACATGAGCAGGCCAGCAATCAGATACGTCTTTATAGCTAAAAGCCTTCAGGAGGCGCTGTGTGCTGGAGCCAGAAGCTTGTTGCCACCCAGGGACCGTGTGCTTCTGTGCAGCAGCGCTCCCACCCTCAGTACATTTTTTGCTGCCAAAGGAGAGTGTCATGTTCTCCCTCTGAGGCGGAGGACATCTGCATGGCTTATTCCCACCGTGCCAATAGGGAGGCAGGAAGAAGTCTTTTCCCCTTCCTGTTGGCGCCCTCGGAATAGCCCCACCTTAGTTCTGTTCCTGCCTCACTAAGGAGTAGCAGCATAGATCAGATTGCTCTTACTTCAGATTTTAAAACCTTTTTTCCTTGTCTTTTCCCTTCGTTGTAGCCTTTCCTTTGCCCTTTTTACTTTTATTTCAAATCTCATCTTGATCTCCTCTCTTTCTCTTTCGTTTTCTCTGCTTCTCTGCTCCGATCTTGGAGTGAGGCCCCTAGGGTCCGTCGGCCCGAAGAGTTTTTCCAGAGTCTTCATTGCCATCGCAATGACAGCGAGAGAGCCTCCTGAGGTCTTCTCCTCGGGTGACGAGGGAGATGTGCTTGCCACGTCACCGGCAGCGCAGGAAACCATCGGGCCCGATCAGCTTTCGCAGCTTGATCGTGCGCCTACAACGGAGGCTGCTGGAGCGAAGGCGGCGGCATGGAGCGCCAAAAAGTGCCGCTTGCAGCCTGATTCGGATGAGCCCGCATTTTTATTTCCCCGTCCTCAGACGGGCGGCGGCCATCTTGGGGATCCGGCTTCGGGCCTTGGACCCCTGCTGGGAGCAACGCCGGCAATCGCGGGAAGCGATAGACCGCGTCTCGTCAACTCCCCAGCATCGGAGCCCTCGACTACAGAAGACTCGCAGTCGGGTAAGCCACCGCATAACGCGGTTTTAGTAGATCCTACTGAGCTCATGAACTTCATTAGGCAATCCATTCAAGTGGAAGTAGCCAAGACTACTAAGCCCCAGCTACCACCCCGACAGGGGAACCCTCTACAGGAGGTTCAGACACATCTCCCCTTAGGCTGGCCCACCAAGGCGGCAAAAAAGGGCCCCCCCTCCTCCTCAAATAACACCCACAGAGGAACAGTGGATGGAGGAGTTAGAGTCCAATGCATCCTCCACTGAGGAACATGAGGAGGCTGAATTCTTATCAGAGGATGAGTTGGAAGAGCTCAAGATACCAGAACAGTCCAGTCGATTTTTTAAATCAGAAGACTATCAATATCTATTGACTAAGGCAGTCAAAGCTCTGGAATTGCATGATATACCTGCTTCTGAGTATCAGAAGTCAGTCAGAGCAAAAATTAGATCCAAGTCTGGTGGCAATAAAGAATTCTTTCCACCAGAGGAACATTCTGACAAAGTATTCCCATTCCCTGAATACTTTGAGCGTCAATTGAGATCGGGCTGGGACAAGCCTGTTACAAACAAGCAGTTTCCCTCATTTGCAAAAAAGTTATATGCTATGCCTAATTATGCAGATGAACTGTTACAGGTCTCTCCAGTAGATGCTCCCGTTGCACCACTCCAGACGGCGGGCCTAGTATCCGAAGATGGATTGGGCAATCTTAGGGAAGCCACAGATAAGAAATTAGAGGCCACTCTTCGAAGAATCCACGAGTCCATCATCATGATGGTTCGGGCAGCTTCCACGGCTTCATCGCCGCTAGGGCATCGATTGTATGGCTACGCAAAATCATGCAGCTCATACCGGAAAACAACAGAGCCCTACTGGAAGGAATATCTTGCACACTCAAGTCTGACTCATTTACAGCGGACACCACCTTGGACATCATATCATTTGCCTCAAAGGGACTAGCTTCCACAGCGGTCGCCAGGAGAATACTCTGGTTACGAGCTTGGCAAGCAGACTCACAGTCCAAATCCATAGTGACTGCATATCCCTTTCAGGGAGACCGTTTATTTGGAGAGGCGCTCGACAACATTCTAGTTGAAACAAGAGATAAAAAGAAGGCGATGCCTCGGTCGCTGAAACACCCGGACAGACGCACTTCTCAGCCCTTTTGGTCCCAGCACACCCTGCCGCGTTTTCGTCAAGATTCCAAAAGACCATCATGGGAGTCCAACAGACAAGTCAACAGGCACGGCTCCTTCAACCCCCGATTCCAGAGGTCTCAGTTCGGCAGGAGTGACAGAGGTGCGAGGGAGACTAAGCCCAAACAAAACTGACTGTGCCGATTTGCCGGTGGGGGCACGACTTCTTCATTTCACAGAGACTTGGTCAGACGCACAGGCGGATGCCTGGGCGGTAGAATTCGTGTCCCAGGGATACACAATCGAGTTTCTTCACCAACCCCCACAGAGATTTATTCAGTCTTCGGCAAGCAAATCTGCAAGCAAAAGAACCATCATCAACAAGGCCATTCAACACCTCATCAACATCAAGGCCATCGAACCTGTTCCCAAGGATCAGAGGGGTCGCGGCGTTTACTCCATCCTATTTATGGTTCCCAAGAAGAACGGGGATTGTTATTAAGATTTTTATTGTTTTTCTTTACATAACAACAACATAACAGTGTAAGCAAATATAGAATTAAAATGTGGTTAAGAAACCAAGCTTTTTGACATACTTACGTATGTATGTTTTGTACAGTATCAGGTAAACAATGTTTTTTTTAAAAAAAACAAAACTCTGTGCGAAGATAGAAACATTTCTCATTGGTAGACTTCAAATATTACCATTGTATGGTGAGTAAAATCTCACTGCTTAAACCAATTAATAAAAATTCATTAACAGTAACAGTATAGCATTGAATAGATAAGCTAAATATTATAACATTAATTATATATATAAAACTTAAATAATACATACGTATACATATAAATAGTAATAAATAATAATAATAACGACAACAAGAACAACTATATTAATAAGAATACAAATAAAATAAAATATCAATTACACATCAAATCCATTTATAAAATTGGGACCACTCAGAGGAGATGAATTGTTGTTGAGATAAATAATCTAGGATTGGGAACCACTTTCCAATAAACTGTTCATGTTTAGAATTCTGTGACGTAGTGTCTAATTTGTTTGTTACTGATTCCATTAAGTAATGATTCCATAATTTTTTGAACCAAATTTCTGATGTTGGTGCCTTATCATTTTTCCAGAGAGATGCTATCGAGGTCTTGGCAGCATCAAGCATTATTTCAATGGTTGCCTGATGTGGTCTCTCCAATAAATCTTGTGGCCAGGTGTTCAGGAATAAAGTTTCCGGGGTGAACGGGACTCGTATAGAAGTTACATCTTCAATAACTTTGATAACTTCATGCCAGAACATTTTAATTTTACCACACTCCCACCAGCAATGGGCATAGTCTCCTACTTGCTGACATCCCTTCCAACAATTTGGGGATAATGAAGATGATATATGGGAAAGTTTTTGGGGCGTTGCATACCACCTAGTCATTATTTTTAAATTTTGAAATCTTATTGCTATAGACTTGGTTGTGAAGCTGGTGGAGTTCCAAAAAGTAGACCAGGTTTCATCATCTAATGCTGAATCGCATTCCTTTTGCCATGCGTATTGATATTGCAGTGAGGCTTTGGAAGCATTGGTAATCAGAATAGAATATATTTTGGATATAAGTCCTTTATTTACTTCAAGAACGGGGATTGGAGGGCGATCCTGGATCTGAAATTTTTAAACAGGTTCTTCCATTTACGACATTTCCGCATGGAAACACTGAAAGCAATTGTGGATTCCCTATCCCCCAACGAGTTCCTGACGTCCATAGATCTGACGGAAGCGTACTTACATGTACCGATACATCCTGCACACAAGCGGTTCCTACGTTTCTGCATCTATGGTCAGCACTTCCAGTATCGAGCACTTCATTTCAGGATATTGTGATATTGTGATCATCATCTTACTAAATGGTGTAGGTCAGGTATGCATGTGTAGTAAAACATTTGTGTGTTAAGTTCATGATCTAAGGGAACGTGGGAAAAGTTGCATTTCTTTGAACAGTGAACCTGCTTGGAGGCCTTTTGCTCATGAAAAGGTTTAATTTGAAAATCAACACGTCTGCTAAATAATTTCATGTTAGAGTTCTTTTCACTCCCTTGGTTATAGCTTGATTGTGTGCATTTGCTCAGTAAACAGCAGCCTGAATGGCCCAGCTTAGCCTGGGCTCATCAGAACTTAGAAGCTAAACAGGATTAGCCATGGTTGGTACTTGGATGGGAGACCGCCAAAGAAGACTGGGGTCCCTATGTGGAGGAAGGCAATATGGCAAACCACCTCTGCTCATCTCTTGCTTGGAGTGCCCCATGGATGGGGTCACCATGAATCAGTTGCATCTTGACAGCATGTTTTTCTCTGTCTCATCCATTGCTTAGTAATAGTCCCACAGTGTTCATAGTTACCTCCTTTGTGATTTTTTATGCGGTCAGTCTGCAGTTCTCCTTCAGTGGGAGGAAGTCATCCAGGAACTGGTTAGGTCACGCCTCTGCTCGCTCGATGGGCTATGCAAATTTCTTTTGTTGCGTAGCTCCTATTGGAGTGGCCTAGGCTGACCTCTCCAGTTCTTGCATAGCCTTGCGCTCGGTAGGACGTCTGGAGCGCCTGCTCTAAAGCAGAGGAAGTACAAAGAAAGAGAACAGAAAAACAACAAGACCAGATGCCAAGAAGATCTTCCCTTCCAGGAGACGCCTGAAGATGGTCCAGGATGAGAAGAAGAACAAAGGCCCCCCTCCACCTCCTGAGGTGCCAGAAGGAGGAGGAATGGCCGCGATGGAGGTCCCCGCGGAGCAGCAGCCCATTACTTCCGAGGCACCGGGAGTCGGGCAGCAGGATGCTCAGTGGCTGGAAGAAGCACTGTGGCAACTGCAGA